CGTAGGGGTGGGGTATGGGGAAGGGGTCTTTGTGGGGCTGGAGAAGGGTCTCTGGAGCTGGGGAAGGGGGCTGGAGGGGGGTCTTCATGGGGGTGGGGGCTGGGGAGTGCTATCTGTGGGGCTGGGGGAGGGGTCTCCATGGGGCCATGGCTGGGGTCTCTGTGGGGTCTCTGCAGGGCTCCGGCAGGGGTTTCTGTGGGGTCTCCATGGATCCCTGGTTGGGGTCTCCCTGGGGTCTGTGCATTCCATGCTTAAGCCCCCCATTCTCCCCATCTCCCCCAGGTCGGCTCCACCGCGCGGCTCCGCGCCCACGAGCGCCTCCACGGGGCTCCCCCCCCGGACCCCACCGCCCCCCTCCCCCCGCCTTCCTCCCCATCCCCCTCCTCCTCACCCCCCCAACCGCTGCCCCCTCCCCCACCTCCCCAGCGCCGCGCGGCCGCTTCCAAAACCTTCGAGTGCCCCGACTGCAAGAAGCTGTTCAGCACCGACACCTCGCTGCAGGTTCACCGCCGCATCCACACGGGCGAGCGGCCGTACCCCTGCCCCGAGTGCGGCAAGGCCTTCCGCCAGTCCACCCACCTGAAGGACCACCGGCGGCTGCACACCGGCGAGAAGCCGTTCCGCTGCCAGGAGTGCGGCAAAGCCTTCGCCATCGCCGTGCGCCTGGCCGAGCATCGCCGCATCCACACCGGGGAGCGGCCGTACCGCTGCGAGGCCTGCGGCAAGGCTTACCGCTCCTTCTCCAACCTATGGAAGCACCGCAAGCTCCACCAGCAGCGCCGGGACGGCGGCGCCGACGGACTGCGCGGTGCGGCTGGTGATGCGGATGCGCTCCGTGGCGGCGCCGGCGCCGTGGATGTCCTCCGTGGCGGCGCCGGTGCTGTTGGTGTGCTCCACGGTGCTGGTGGTGCTGTGGACGTGCTGCACGCCGGTGCCGTGGACGTGCTCCGCAGCGGTGCTGAGGTCATCGCTGCCATCGCTGACGCTGCTGACGTCATCGTGGACGCGGCCGACGTCGTCACCGACGGCACCAACGTCATCGTGGACGCGGCCGGCGTCATCTCCGACGTCACCAGCGTCATCACTGTCACCGACGACGGCGCCGGCGCCACCAATGTCATCGCCGGCGCTGTTGATGTCACCGACGTCATCGCTGACGTCACCCACGTGGTTGCTGACGGCGTGGCTGATGTCACCGGGGTCATCACCGACACAACCGGCGTCACCAACGTCATCGCTGACATCGCCAACGTCGTCACCGACGCAACCAGCGTCACCGGTGTCATCGGCGATGGCGCCAACGGCACCAGAGTCGTCGCTGACGTCAGCAGCGTCATCACCGATGGCACCAACGTCATCCCCAACGCGACCGGTGTCACCGATGTGATGGATGGCACCAGGGTGGTGACTGATGGCACCAATGCCATCAGCGACGCAACCGGTGTCACCGGTGTTGTCAGCGATGGCACCGACAGCACCGCTGTGATGAGTGACGTCACCAATGTCATCACTGACATCACCAACGTCATCACCAACGCAACCAGTGCCACCAGTGGTGGCAGTGTGCTGACCAGCGCCGCCAGCGTCGTCACCGATGGCACCAACCTCATCGCTGACGTCACCGGTATCACCAGTGCCATCGCTGATGGCACCAATGTGATAACCAACGCCATCGCCGACGTCGCCAGTGTCACCACCGCCACCAGTGATGTCACCAGTGTCGTCACCGACGTCATCACCAGTGGCACCAATGTAACAAACGTCATCACTGACACAACCAATGTCGTCACCGATGGCACCAGTGTCACCCATGTCGTCGCTGATGGCACTCCTGTTGTCACTAGCGGTGTCACCCATAGCACCCATGACCCCAGTGGCGTTGCCAATGGCACCAGTGTCAACAGTGATGTCACCAACATCGTCACGGATGGCACCGCTGTCACCAATGTGATCACGGATGGCACCAACGGCACCAGTGTCACCACTGATGGCACCAATGTCACCACTGTCATCACTGATGACACCGACAGCACCAGTGTCACCACTAATAGCACCAATGGCACCACTGGTGCCACCACTGTCACCAATGCCATCTCTGATGGCGTGCCCATCATCACCAGCATGGCCTCCAGTGGCACCGACGTCACCAACGCCATCACCAGTGTCACCAACACCGTCACCAACACCGTCACCGACGTCACCACCGACACCAGCGCCGCCCCCCCCGGTGCCCCCCACGCCGTCGGCGCCTACGGCAGCGCCTTGGCCATCATGGAGCCCATGGAGATCTACCCCGAGGCCACGGCACCGGCGGGGACGGCACCCACAGATGTGGCCCTTGGGGACGTCCCCGTGGGGGGGGTCTGAGCGAGGGGGGGGAGGGCAGCGTGCCACCTCCCCCATCCACCCCTCCCCCCCCCAGGGTGGTCCCCACGGCGCCATTTTGGGGCGTTCTGCCCCAATTCTGGGGGGGGGACACGACACCCCACGTCACTGCCTTGGGGATATTCCTGGTGGGGCCAGTCCCATTTTGGGGGGATTTCGCCCCATTTTGGGGGACAGGAGACGGATGGAGACCCCATGTTACCACCGTGGGGATGTTCCTCGTGGGGTCAGCCCCATTCTGGGGGGAATCTGGCCATATTTTGGGGGATTTCACCCCGTTTTGGGGACAGGAGATGGATGGAGCAGCCCACGTCATACCGTGGGGACGTTCCTAGTGGCCCCAGTCCCATTTTGGGGGGATTTCGCCCCATTCTGGGGGACAGGAGACAGATGAAGGAGCCCATGTTACCGCCATGGCGATGTTCCTGTTGCCCTAATCCCATTCTGGGGGGATTTCACCCGATTTTGGGGTCATAAAGATGGGAACATCACATCAACCCATTGAAGACATTCTGGTGGCCCCGACCCCATTGTGGAGGGATTGTGCCCCATTTTGGGGTCAGGGTGGGGCTGGAGGACCCCGTCTCACCACGGAGCGGATATTCCTGCTGGGGTCAGCCCCTTTCTGGGGGGATTTCGCCCCATTTTGAGGTGATGAAGATGGGGGAAGTGATGTCAGCCAGCTGAGGACATTGCTGGTGGCCGCGGTCCCATTTTGGGCAGATTTTGCCCCATTTTGGGGTGCACCCGAGCTCCCCTCCCTCCCCCCCACTGTCCCTGTGTGCCCCTTTCCCTGGGGAGGGGGAGAGGGGGGGGCAGTTATCTGCTGATGCAATTAAACGCCTGAAATGGACCCAAAATGCGACTCATTGATTGGGGGGG